AGGAGAATCATACATACTGCCAGCTGTGGCTTATCAAGGGGGACAATTGTAATGTGAACCCAAAATCTATTTTGTAGTATGTTTGGGGTCATGTCTCACTGTATACAGTTTTCTTAAAGATGAACTCCAGGACAAAAAATGATTAGCCCTTGCAGAGGGGCTACCCCAACACTGCAAGGGTTAACTGCTTGTTATTGCCTAGGTTAAAAAAACAAACATTTGTGAAGCATTTTCAGTGCAGTATTAAGGTGCACATTGAGTATGTAGGTGGTCCCCTTCTGGGGACTATTTATAAACAATTCATAGAGCCATCTGTCCTGTGAATCTCTGTGAAAGCTTATTCTGTGCATATAGAGGCAAAAACACACTTAATGTAATACCGCATTATGGCCACAAGAAGGAGCAGAGGAGCATAGGAAATATTACTAATTCAATATGCTCCTCAGTTCCATCTAGTGGCCATGTTGTGGTAATACATCACATTCGACCTGAAAGAAAGTATATAAAGAATGTTCGTTATTGCCTCATTCACACATTCACTGAGACTGGCAGGGCGAATTGTTTATAAATAGACCCAAACCGCTGCAAACAAGAGTGGGCGAGTGTAGCACCAATGCTGAGGTAAACAGTCCCATTCCATTGCATGAACCGGAGTTTAAATGGGATAAATGTCAGGAAAAGCACCTGGGTGTAAAAGGGACATGGAAAAAGAAACTGCCCCATCTTAACACATACAACACATGGCATTCACGTAGCTGGGAATACAATTTATGGTGGATCCGGATGATGCAAACATGGGAAAGAGCGTGGTACAGATCTCTCCAGGTACGGCCAGTCTTGGTCCAGTTAATGGTTTGGTGGTTGGTTGTGATCATCAGCATTCAGTAGAATATCTCATATACAGGATCTCCAACTTTGATTGTCCCCGTCTTCTGAATTCTCACAAATTGTCCAAAGAGTGGAGATGACTTATAGACCTCCTTATCCGCCGTGTCACACAGCCGGTAACTGAGGGGAGAAACAAATCAATGTGATGGAAGCTGCAGGATGAGGGTGAGCAGGTTTGACAACTAGCTCTCTATGGTTCATGTATTGCCAGTTAGAATAATAAACTGGCTTGAATCTGCTTGGTGGCTTTAAGGGATGTCTTAGAAGGCAGAAATGGGCCTGCAGGGGGAGTGGTTTAGAACTGCTGTGCTGAATCACAAGGAGGGGTTCCCAGATCACCAGACTACTGACACAAGGAGGTGGGGCAGACGGGTGCACTACAGCACTGCCTGGGTGAAAATCTGAATTGCTGAACAGACAGGCCTTGCCCCATGTATGTCTATTGAAGTCTGAGGCCTGATTTACACGTGCGATTAGTCTATATTGTAAATTCTGGTGGCAAGAATCTTCATACTCTTGTGTACAGAATGACAGATGTTTGTGAATAGCTGTGGCGCTCAGCCTATACAGAGCAATGACAGGTTGATGGCAGCAGCAGCTGCCCGTGGCTGTTCGCACATCCAGCGATTAGCTGCTGTTTGGGAAAGATGTTCATCCCTGGACGCAGTCTGTCTGCGTCCAAAGACAATCATCTGTCCCTAACTGCAGGTAATCAGCGAAAACCCAATTACATCTGAACAGCCTCAAACAGCTGCGGCCACCTTCAGCCAGCCATTGCTTTGTACAGGCTGAGCAGCCACAGTTTTTTTGCTAACAATTGTCAGAGAGAGAATTTAAAGTAACATAATAAAATGTGTAAATTGTATAATAATGTTTATGTTTTATAGTGTTTTTTTATGTCGTGATCAATGATAAGTTCATGGCAATTATTAGAAAATATCACGCCGCACTATGTAAATCTTATTTTGAAGGGAAATTTCACCTTTTGCGAAGATAAGTAAATAAAATGCACACTAAGAAATTATAATGTTTATGCATAGGAGCCAGTGAATCATTGATCAGTAGATTGTGGATGCAATGCTCTGGCCAGGGGCGTCCCGAGGCCGGGTGTCACCCAGAGGAGAGACCGGGTGACACCCTGCCGTGACATCATCGCGCATGTGCGGCTGTCTAATTGATGCCTGCCGGCGGCTATCTTGGTGATGGTCGCCGGCAGAGAGAGGAGGGGACGTTCACCCGGTAGGATGAGGTATGCAGCCAGGTCCCCTCCTCTCTCCTGACACTGTCAGCCATTTTGGTGTCACCCCTCCAATGGTATCACCCGGGTGCGGGCTGCACCCCCCTTGTGACGCCACTGGCTCTGGCTCCTGCAGACTCTTCCTCCCATCCATGTCTGTAAAGAGGTATGGACATTCAGTCACATGGAAGGGAGGAAGTATGAATAGACTACAGATGTGTCACCACACTTGTATTCCATTGAAATGACAAGTCCCATCTGCCACTGTGGATCTGTGAATGGATGACGTGGCTGTGTGGGCAGGGCCATGCACAGCCGCACTGAATTTGAACAACAGAAGCAGCCTGCGGAGAGAAGAACCCTGCAATTCAGGTAAGGGGGGGGGGTCTCAATCTGACCATATATAGAATGTAGGTGTGATATGACACATGGTCAGAAAGGTGCTACTTAGCCTTTAAATATTGACAGTTCTTATGTAGAGATGACCACCGAACACCTTTAACCTAACATGGCCGCTTAGGCTGCCCAGCAAGCTATTTTATATAGCTGGTGCCATTTATTCTTAAAGCAACCCCAGCGCATCTGCTTTGCAGCGCACCACAATGCATGGTAATGTTCTGCCATGGGTTGTGGTTACAAAAAAATGCATGCGCTTTTTTGACACGTTGTGGTGCAATAGGCAGCCCATTCAAATGAATAGGCTGCCCTATCGCAAGGCACGTTAAGTTGCAGCATAATACGTGTTAACACGGGTGCACTGACGCACTGCAGCAGTGTAATCCCAGCCTTAAACGTTAATCGGGATTTTGGCAACTATCTTCCTAGACAGACCTGCGCATTGTCTCCAGGGGCTCCTTCATATTAATGATTCCTGTGTCGGGATCCACCGTGGTCAGTATACACCTATAAAAAGCAGACATAATACACGGACATCAGTAAAATCATGATGAAGAATAAATTAAAGAAGAATTCTGCTAAGTACAATTTACATCTAAACCGGCCTCATAACACAACCTCAGGAAAGCCAAAACCATTCTAGGGGGGAAAAAAGACTCTGGGGCTCGTTCCCATAGGAACTGCTGCTGCTCATTAAAAAAGTACAGGACATTCTTTGGGGCATGATGACGCATTTTTGGCCTCAACAGACTTCAATGGGAGCACCTGAATACTGCATGTAGCGCTCATTTTTCAAGCAATTTTGTGCCTAACAACCATCTCCTCCTCCTAGTATTTGCACTGGCTAAAACAAAAACGCTCAAGCCTGAAAATGCGCAAATTATGCATGTCCAAAGAAGCTTAAAAATGCGCAAAAAATGACCAAAGGTGCCGATGCTCAGGTATGAATGGGGGCTTACTTAACTGAATGTATTCTTCCTCGAAAGGAGACTACCAAGTGGAAAATATGATCATAAGATATGAAGATACACAATCGCTCCTCATAGTAAACTTGGTGATAAGGTCATTGGAAATGATAAGGGGGAACTCTTTCTCTGGAGGAAAAGAGGTTTGCACTCTACATATGGAAAGGCTTCTTCACAATAAGAGATGTGAACTTGGCTACCACAGGGACTAGTTCTAGGTAACTTAGTGCTTTGTTGATGCTGGATGAGTTTCTAAATGCACAGAATATAAGCGGTTATAAATAATAGTAATAACACCAGAGATTGTTGATCCAGGGAATATCTGATTGCCTTAGGGGAACAAGAAAGATTTTCCCCCTCATTGGAGTACATTAGACCTCGCTTTATAAGGGTTTTTTGCTTTCCTCTGGATCAGATTTGGGGTTAGAGTTCTTTATATGCAGATTTTCAATGTATTTATTTATTTATTATTATGCTGGATGAACCTGATGGACTTTTTTCAATCTAACTATGATTGCTCTGAGCTGAATGAAAGCATTGAACAGAGAGGTGTAATTTAAGCGAATCAAACAGATTTACACTCTCTATTGGTCCTGCTTGTAGTTGTCATTAGGACAGAAAGTGATGGGACAAAACATTTTCAGAACCAGAGAAAGGGTAAATCTTCCAATAGGTACTCTAACATTTTAGTCTTGGTTCCCAGGGTTACCTCAGGTCTTTTAGGAAGCTAGAAACATCCCTGGTTTATATATAAGTTTACTTTTAGATTAGAAGGAAACACACATACAATATGTGTCTATACTGACCGTGGACAAGGCATGACTCGTTTCAGCATCACACGTTCAGCAATCTGAATCTCCTTCCAGGAGTCCTACAATCGAAGATAACAAAATATTATATATACATATATTTGAGGGTCCTCATTATCCAAGGAGTTTAATGAAAAAATATGTAGTTGATAGATACATAAAACAAAGCTCACTTCACCAAACCTTCATGTATGTTTTATTAAAAAAGTTTTAAAAAAAATTGTAGCCACATTGGCTCTTTACTATTTATTTTCATCTTTGCCACGTGAATTTACTGGCCTCTGTATGAACTCTGAGTCTGCCTTAACATTTCCCCAACAACTTTCAATGCAAGCAGTAAAGACTTCTGCTTGCAGATGCAGACAGAAGAAACAGCAGGCTTGATTGACAATCACCCTTGCCCCATCCTCTTCTCTGCCCCATTCCTTTCACTGCAACTTTTTTGTAGTAAAAAAATCAGACCATAAAGGAGGACAACTGAGGAGGGAAGAGGGACAGAGGGATTTGGTTCCAAATAAGGGACAGTTCCTCCAAATAAGGGACAGTTAGGAGCATTACAGCAAGTATAGTATTATTTATAATACAAACAATATAATAATAACAATAAAAATAATATAATACGAGTACAATATATATTTTTCTACAATAAAAATATGCTGAAAGGTTTTTGTGCACAAGACGTAGCAATTTTTCTATTTGACCACTAGGAGGCAATATAATACAGCAAATCCACCCCAGGGCAGTGAAGTCCTGCATTTCTCAACTGTGTTAGACACCAGTTTAATGCAGTTTACCAAGTAGCCCCTGGTTGTTGTGGTTTGTCTGACGTACCTCCTGCTTTATCTCCCAAATATGTATATTTCTCATCCATATGCTTAAAATGCAGTAGCATACTGACTTTAATTTTATCAGATGGACCCCTAGGGGTATCCCTAATACATGATGAGAACCACTGGTGTAGGTTGGCCAACAGAGGGCAGTACTGTCATCCCATGGAATGCTCCACTGCTATAGGATTATTCCTAGCTACCACAATTGTAATATCCGTATATCATCACAGTTTTAAGCCACATCAGCAAATCCATGTCTAGATCTGCTGGCCACTCATATGCTCCAATAAAACCATGCCCTTTTGTAGAAAGCCCAACCCTTCCCATCATACATGTTCTCAGCAAGCCCAACACATCCAATCACACCTGTTTTTAGCAAGTTCAGCCCATCCAATTACACCTGTTTTCAAGAAGTACAGCCAATCCAATTACACCTGTTTTCAGCAAGCCCAACCCATCCATGTAGCTAAGGATAAGTAGTGCTTACTTCATTACTCACAAAGGATGGGTAGTGCTCCCCCCATCAATCACTAAGTGGTGCTTACCCCATCAGTCAATAAGGATGAATAGTGCTTCCCCCACCAATCACTAAGGATGGCTAGGGTCAACCTCATCAGTCACTATGGATGGGTAGTGCTGCCTCCATCAGTCACCAAGGATGAGTAGTGCTTCCCCAATCAGTAACTAAAGGTTGGAAATGCTTCCTCCATCAAGTTTTGACTTTTAGATTGACTTGATTGTGTAATTTACCTCGGCAAAGGCTCCACATCCAGAGACCACAATATTTGGACGAAAGTTTCTGATGGAGACTTTATTTTCCAGTTTGGAGTTCAGATCTTCTAATGAGGCTTCAGAGAGTAGCAGGAGGGGGCTAAGGTCAGGGTATGCAACCTAGTGAACAGTAAGACAATACCAAAATGAAAATACTGACAATAGTGTTGACCATTTAGACAAGTTATCACAGAAAAGTTTGACTGCTTAAATATCTTAAGAGCTCCTGAACAGCGATTTCTGAGCCCTAAGTGACAAATTCTCCTACTGGAACCTTATAAGCATGCAATCAGTTGACAAATGTTCCCTCTTCATCGGGGTTTCCAGACTTTCCTTCCATTCCCATTAACAATGTATGTTTTGCAGGTAAACCCATATAAGCTCAGATGGAGTAATCAGTGCCTAAGCAATACAAATGATCTGCTCATGTGGATATCTACAAAACACAAACTGATGGCAAGACTTGAGGATGGGTTTGGGGCTGTTTTGGGTCCCAGATGAATGCCAGAAGTGGCCAAAACTTTGAAGTTTGGTCAAATTGTGCTGAAGTTTGAATGGATTCGGCTGGGTTTATTATGTTCCAGCAATAATGTATAAATAATCAAAAAGTTATTGTGACAGTCCATAGTTGCAATCTGATCCACTGGGCTAGTAGAGATTTTCAGAAGCAGTGATCAGAATGGAGGACTCAGGGAGACTGATTCATTAATAACTTTATTCAATAGAAACTACTGCTGTTAATACTGAATTAGCTAAGTTAAAATGACAAGCTTGGAAACTGGACCCAGAACCCCAAGGCCCAGATACTACAACTACACATCCCTATTACATTCAGTCATAGTGGGACTAGGAGCTTTCAAGGTAAAGACGAGGAAAGCTTTGCACATGTTTTTGACCTTTGAGGATATCAGGCACTATACCTGTTAGCTGGGACAGTAACATTCAATAAGGGAGGGACTGCTAATTGTTTTAATTATTTTGATTAGTAGCCTCACGCAGTTGACTTTTATCAATCTACAGGATTTATGTTAATCTAAATTCTGTGTAATACCCTGCAGAACAAGAACCCACAGCTTCATAAGGGGTCAGTAGGTAGAGCCGAGCCAAGGGGTATGCAGAAGAGATGTGCATTATGGGCTCTTCAGCAGGAAAGGGGGTGCAAAAAAGGCAGAACCTGCAACCTATGCTGCTGTAGTTCACAGCTCATGAAGGGGGCCACTTTGACTTTTTGCCCTGGGTGCTCAAGGACCTTATCCCAAAACTGTAAGTAGGAGTGAATTTCCTAAATCCTGGGTTGTGTATATCTTTGTGTACACCTATGATATATTACATCTAGTTATTCTCCTTCATTTTGCCATACACTGTCCAGATCCGTGCATCCGTCCCAGTATGGGCAGATGTGTGGGAAGAACCATACAGCCACTGTGTCATTGATCTCTCTGCTGGCCATGGCTGCACGGAATACCTGTGACTCCCATATGCATATACAAACGCATGGCCGGGTGAATGAGCGCTATTAGGGTCCAATACACAAGGGAATTAAAATAAATGCATCCAGGTGCATTTAAAATTAGCTTTAAATGCACCTGGACTGGACGCATGTATTGCTTTGCTTTGACTGAATGCACACCTGGAAGTTCAGCAGCATCTAGGTGCATTCAGTCTAGCTGAGTTTACGCAAACATGAATTTTCTGCGTCCGGGGAGCATTTAACCTGATTTTACATTGCTAAACACACCGAAATGCATGTAAATGCGGCTAAACCCAGGAACATCTAAGCGCAGGAAAAAGTGGCCTGGGAAGCTTAAAAGTTGTTTATAATTCTCAGATAACTTCCACTGTGTTTAACGAAGGAGAGCCATGTGCATGGGGGCCAACTGACAGTACGGATAGGCTTTAATCACACAGGTGAAGGGCTTTTAAATAGTGTTTCTGTTTTAATATGGTGGATTAGATAAAGACACAGTGGGTCGAAACGCGTTATCCACTAATAGCTCAGTGTCTTTGTTCACGGATGGGTCTTATCTTTACTTTGGGAGTGCTGACATCTTCGATATCTTGACACTATTCCAGCATTACCAACAGGTGTGTTCCAGTATTATCATATTACAGATAGATGGGAGTGGGGTGGATTGGGAGAAAGATACACACAATGTATACTCAAATGAAAAACTGATAAAATCAGGAAGAAGCATTGTTTTTGGCAGAAGAGACTTTGCACATCTCTTCTGTCAAAAAAAAAACTCCAACAGTTTTAATAGTATAATTGTTTTACATAGTTACAATATTAAAATTAAAAATAAAGTTAAAACATTTTATTTATTTACATTTTTGCACATTTGTCAGCCTACAATAAAAACAAAGCAGGATTCTTGTTTGCTATTAAAAATAGTGTAACCAAATAAAAGCCTTAAGGCCAAACTAAACTTCCAATGTTAACCGATAGAGAATTATGGTAGAGGAGACTCTGCATGTCTCCACTGCCATAAAAAATTTTCCCCTACCTGCTAACTATTTTTTACAAATTATCCACTGACAGCAGTGCTTTACAGATGCTGGGAGTAAGTGTTGGGTGTCATGTGGGAGTTACACTATCCCAGCCAATTGAGATGGCCAAAGACTCCTAAAGCCGGAAGAAGATGGAAAAAGATGGAAGCACCAATGGTGGATCAACAAGGGAGATCGATGGCACTTTACAAAATACGTGTGCCATTACTTTCTATTTGCACATACATGATAAAATCTGACTTTTTGGCTAGAAAAAAGCTTCAGACCCCCAAACAATTATATATTTTCTAAAAGCAGTGGCCCTGTGGAATACAAAAATGCTAGTTCCAAATTTCCATCAGGGTAGACCTGCCGTGCCAGTCCCAGGGCCACATTGGGGGACAGCGAAGCTCAGGGAAGCCGGCGGTGGCACCAGCGGCAGCGGAGGGACACACACACACACGCACCGTAAAAGCGACCCAGTGCCTTTACAGATGTCAGATTGCTTGAACAGAAACAGCAATCGCCTGCTGTTTAAAATGCTACCAGGAACACGGCTGCAGCAACAGCTGTGTTCTTGGTATAACCACTTCAAGCAGGTGACGTGTAATTACGTGGGCCCGCTAGAAGTGGTTATTGTCCTTAAAAATGTCTTAAATTACTTGGGTATGCTAATTTGGCCTGGATATCTAGACATCAATGATGTCTGGTCACAAAGGGGTTAACAACTTGCTCTTTGGACATGGCACATGACAAGAAGCCGGATCAGATCATACACTGGTATTCATCAATGTCTCAGCAACCACGTAATTTCCGACTTCCAGGTTTATGGAGTTAATACATGCAGAGTGTCTGCTGATCTAATGAAGGATGCAGCGGTTATTAAGGCTCACCTGATCATTTTCATTATATACCGGATATTCGTTCTTCGGATTCCGGCGCTTCATCCTGTCCTCAAACTGTACTATACGGTACGTCTGAACGCTCTTCAAGAAGTTTGTGATCCAGCGAGAGGCTTCGTCTCCGCAGTCTCTGCCTGAGACCTCATTCCCATGGACCCTCAAAAATAAAAACATAGCAAAATAGACATACCATTTCTTTTCATGTATTCTTCTACTGGGTCCAGGAAACATTCACATATCGTCAATAATGTGCACAACTATCATAAGTAGGGATGCACCGATACCGATACTAGTATCGGTGCCGATACCGAGTATTTGGGTGAGTACTCGTACTCGCCCAAATGCTCCGATACCTAGCACGAGTACTTCCTGTATCAGGAAGCTGGGCAGCTCGTCATTACACGCTGCCCGTTTTCCTTATTGGCTGGGAAACTGCTCCATGCTCTCTCGTCACTTGTGATGAGAGAGCAAGGAGCCGACTTCCCGGAAAATCAGGAAGCCGGGTAGCGTGTAATGACGCGTTTTCCGATTGGTCAGAAAGCTAGCCAATCCGGAAGCCGGGTGCCTTGTAATGACGCAGCGCCCGGCATTCTGATTGGCCGGTAAGCCGGCGTCATGCTCCCTCATCATCTCATGAATCATATTAGGAACTGACCTAAAATCATTAGTTTGTATTGCTTTAGAAAAAATGTGACCTGGTCCTTTAAGAAAAAGTATCGGTAATTGGTATTGGTGAGTACTTGATCAAAAGTATCGGTACTCGTACTCGGTCTTAAAAAAGTGGTATCGGTGCATCCCTAATCATAAGGGGAGGGGTAGGGTGATCCGGGAAAAAGTCAAACTCCAGCCATAACTTTTCTTTTTTGGATAGACTTTGGAAGAGTAAATATTTTACCAAGTTCTTATTGTTGTGTAATATAGCCAATAGGAGCATCAAAGCCATGTTTTAAGAGTGCAAAGTATTTTATTGATTACACAGCAAAGTAACAGGAAGGCAATGCATTATGGGGGCTAGGCAAGCCACCTTCATCAGGACTACAAGACACATAAAAAAAGAAACTTTGCTAAGCAATAATAAGCAATAATTTATTTATTTTTACACTTTCTTTGCTTTACTCTATGACATAGAAAGGCATGCATTACGTGTCAGGAGGAATGACATATTGTATCAATGTGCAGTAAGGGTACCAACCAAATTGTCAATGTCTGTATACCTGCATGTCTTTGGTATTTCATAGTGTAAAGCCAAGAAATCATGAAAAGAGATACATTTTTGCTTTTTCTATGAAGATACTCTAAAATGGTCGGGGAGGATTTATTGGTACCACTAGACAATGTTATATATGATTGGATCATAGTGATATTTCAAACTGTTTTCTGTAATTAGTATCACACATCTTCAATCTTTCGGACTAGTTACATGGAGAAAAGTAGCCACTCTGCTGTTTGGTGTCATTGTGTGCACCACACTGAACATG